CGGCCGCCCCCCGGGGGGTGGGGGGCGCTGCCAGTCGCTGTCCTCTGCGGAGCTGACCCGCATCAGCTCCACGGCCTGCACCAGGACCTGCTCTCGCTCCTGGCCCTGTACCCCGGAGGCCGTGGTGTGCGTTGGGAGCAGCCTTCGGGTGACCCCCTCCTGCCAGGAGCCCGCTGTCAGGTCCTGTAGGCAGGAGATAAAGGAGCCTTCTGCATTCCAGTCCCTCAGCCTGGGCACCGGAGAGGGACAGGGACAGGGAGAGAGAGACAGAGAGAGAGAGGCAGTCAGCTTTGCCATGGAGTGCTGCACCCTGAGCACCAGCTACCTCCGGCAGGCACGCCGGCACAGCCTGCACCCCGCCAGGCGCTGGGTTCCCCGGCTCATGGCACTGCCGGGCACCCGGCACAAGCAGCACAAGATGCAGATGCATAAAGGGCACAGGTCTCCTCCCTGCCACGCTTCCCTGCCCACCCCACAGCCTCGTGGTCTGGCTGCGAGGGTCTAAGGCAATGCTGTGGAACACTGCTGGGCTCTGTCAGGGGCCTCACGGGACTGGTGCCACTGGGAACGTGGGAGGACGCGGGCCAGGCTGAGATGCCTCTGGTAAGCACAGCCTACATGCAGGGCCTGGCTGTCTGCCTGGGGTCCCTCCCAGGTGCTCTGCAAGGAGCCCCCCCCTCCCCAGAGCATCTGCAGAGAGGCCCAAGCCACTTCTCTGTTTGCTGGGGATACCCGGGCTCCAGAGCTGGAGACCAGCAGAGAAGCAAGCAAAGCTGGGAGGTTATTGCAGCTGGCCCAGCACAGGGCAAGAGCTGGCGAAGCAGTTCTGCTCCCCTCCCACGGCCACCCCGTCACCCCAGGCTGCAGTACCTGTCTGTGCTCTTCTCCACGACGTGGCTAACAGTAGGTGATGCCGTGATCCTGGCTTGCACCTTCTGCTGAACTGAAACAAAAGAGACTTCACTCTCCAGGTCCTGCTCCCTGGTCCCTGGCTGGCGATCACCGGCTGGCATCTTTCCCTCTGGCCTCTGCCCCTCCTCCTGCTCTAGAAGGTCAATCAGGCCATTCATGGCATCTGAGTCCACTGTGTCATCCTCAACCAGGTCCATAGAGCCCATGTGGTCTGGGCCATGCACGTCTGTTAGAAGCTGCCCCAGGAACCGGCCTTCACTTGTGGCATCTGAGTCCTCGGCCTTGCTGCACTCCAGAGAGGAGTCCTCAGCAGTCACCAGCGAGGGGGTGAGCCCAGAGGACCACACCTGCATGTCGGACATCTCCATCAGGGAGTCCTGCTCAGTGGCAGCCATTGGGATAGCATCCATGATGGCCACCTCATTCCAGTACTGGTCGGCACGCAGTGGGGATGGCAGCGTGTAATGCAGGGAGGCGGGGGACAGCAGCTCGTCCTGCAGCGAAGCGTAACCTATATGGGCAGACAGAGGTGATATCTCCAGCAGCCGTCTCACGCACTCACAAGCACAGTGGGGCGAGAAGGGAAACAGCCTCCGGGATGGTGCCTGCACCAAGGACAGCAATGGCCATGCCACAGATGCCAGTGACTGGGCTGAGCAGGGCTGCGTTTACAGCAGCTGCAGCCTTTGCATGGTCCCTGCAAGTGCTGCCATGCCTCTCTTTGTGTCCTGGGACTGGTTCAGGCAGGCCCCAGGGATGCACACTCCCTGTGGGGAGGACTGGCCTGGGGTCCACATGATACCCCATCCACACTGCAGGACACAGTTGCCACCTTCACTACCCTGCGCCATCAGCCCCTGGGTCCCTGCCCACAGCTCCCATCCAGCATCAGCTGGTTGACGGTCAGCTTGGAGTTCAGGTGGTCAAGTCTGGCAGGCACTGACTCCCAAAGTCAACCACTCTCCACAGCGCGGAGGAGCAGGCTGGAAGTAGTACCATGAGCAGGGAAGGGTGGCCCTGGTAGATGTCATGCGAGTCCAAGGCCCTTCGGGATGCAGGCAGGGCCTTACAACCCTGCTGGTGTCTCTAGGGCTACAAGCAGTTGTCACGTCCTCCTCACCCAGGGCCATGTGCACAGCCCAGGCACACTGATACGGACAACAGTCAAGCCAGGCACTCCCACCCACGCAGTTGGCTTTGCTCAGCTTTTTTCAGCTCTGAGCCACTAGTCCCTTGTCCACCCTTGGAGATCAGCAAAGAACTCATTCTGCTCCCCAGGCAGCAAGAGACTGCTAGCCACAGTCAAGGCATGGGGGACAGCTGGGACCCCCCAGCACAGAAAGAGCACCTCTCCCCTGTGCGGGTGTCTGGCCAGGCAAGCAGTGCAGGGCCAGCGAGGGAAGGAGCGCAGGGCAGTGCAAGGAGGAAAAGGCCTGAGGTGGCCGCCTGCAAGCACAACAGCCATGAGAGGGGCAGTCCCTGGTGACATGCAGTCGTTGGAGCAGGACGCGGCTCCCGGAGGGTTCAGCTGAGGTGGAGACAGTGGAGACAGGCAGTGGAGGAAGATGAGAGAAGGAGAGGCCAGGATGAGCTGAGAGGAGAGAGGTGACAAGTCACCTACAGGAGTGCCCGCACCTGATGGCACCAGGTGGCATGTTTGAGAGAGCAGACAGAGAGGGAGAGCACAACGAGCCAGTGCTGCATGGGCAGTGCCACAGTGCCAGGCTGCAGCAGCACAAAGCCTTGTCCCTGCCCAGTGTGCCGGCTCCCCGGCGGCACACGCTGCAGTTGACCGCGGCTGTGTCCCCACATCCAGGCACGCTCTGCCTGGGACCCAGCCTGGGCACACCGCCACAGTCGGTTAGCCAGGACTTCATGAGCTCCCTGGCCACTGCTCAGCTCACGCAGCCACCTCTCACTGGCACATCAGGATGAGGAATGTGTGTCCACCCCACCTGGAAAGCTTCTGAGAAGGCAGTATGGCAGGGTCAAGCTTCCTGCAGCACAAGCCCCAGTGAAGGGGCCGCATCTGCCAGCAATGCCTTGTGCCCGCTAAGCTCCCAGTGGGGCCACCAGTGCACCCTGATCAGGCAAGATAGCAGGCCCAATTTGCCTGCACAGAATGTGCCCCCAGGGCCCTCCTGCAGTCCCTGCCAGAAGCCAGATCTCACCATTCATCTGGGATGGTGACAGGGAGTAATCTCTGTCTGTGTAGCGCCAGTTGCCCTTCAGGCTGCGGCTCTGCCGGCCGGAGCCCTCCAACATGTTGACAATCTCGCTGCGGTCGATGTTCCTCAGCGCCGTGTACAGACTCTCGACTGCAGGGGGAAGCCGGTGTCAGCAAACGGGTCACTTGGGGGTAGACAGCCATGCCCCAGAGACCCTCCAGGCAGGCAGATGTGTATTAACCAGTGGTGTAACCATGCTCAGTGACCCCTGAGCAGGCACATGCTGCTCTGCCCAGCCAGCCCTGCCACCTCCCGCCCTGGAACAGGGCACAGCAGATACTCACTCTTGACACTCTTGCCCTCACGGCTGACCCAGAGGTTGAGTAAGGCTATGCTTTGCTCCAGCAGAGAGTTGGGGTTCTCCACACGTATCCTGTTGATGTCATCCACCCCAAACTGCAGCTCACGTGCCAGCTCTGGAGGAGACACCACATCTCAGCATCACACCCTCTGGCATCCACCACCAGCTCCCGAGCCAAAAAGGCTAGGGATGTTGTGAAGGACTCAGCCAGACCCAGCACAGAGTCCTCCCCATCACAGACAACTAATCACGACAGAACATGCGGGAGCTGGGACAGAGCAGAGGTTGAAGCCATTCTGCCCAGGTTGGCTGGGACCAGCGTAGCAGTGTCTCATGCTAAGGAGAAGCGCACGTACTGCTGTTCGGCGTGTGGCTGCAACGACAGTGCTGGGCCTCCACGAAAGGCAGCGATATATATGACTCAGAGCAAAACCCTAGCCTGGTATCTGTGCATGTGAATGCACGCACAACTGCAAGAAGGTTCATTTCAGTACCACGGTACGCTCATGGTTTAGCAGAAGTGCTGGGAGGCAAGGCCAGCCAGCCAGAGCAGCCAGTGCAGACTGCATGCATACCAACCGCATCAGCGCCCAGCTCCCTGGACAGTATAAAGCACATTCACTCCACCCTGCAGCATCTTTCCAGCCTTCCTAAGTTTCAGCTTTCTGAGTGTTGTGCATCCTCAGAGCTGTCAGGTGTGGACTCACCAGCCCAGCTGAGGCCCAGCTGTTCTGCTATGTCGACCATCTTCTGGTCTGCCTTGTCCGTGCTGCTCAGAGAGCCTGGAGGAGAAGAGGCAATCACAGCTTCAGCTGCACAGAGCACTGCACCGGGGTGGGGAGGGGAAAGGGCTGCTGGCTGAGGGGGTCTCACAGCCCTGTAGGCATGGCACTGCCCTGCGGGCAGGACCAAGGAAACCCTCAGCGAAAGGGAAGCTGCCATGAACATGAGTACAACAGGGTCAGTCCAGCGTTTCCACCCGGCTTGGACACCCCAAGGGCAAGTGGTGAGCAGGTTTGACCAGTCCCAGCAGGCTGCGTACCGAAACTGGTCTCGCTTAGGTTGCTGTATCGCTCCCGCAGAGACAACGGTGTCAATGTCCTCCTCCGCTCCTCACTGCCGCTTCCCTACAAGAGTGGGGACAAAGCAAGTGGTCACCAGCTTGAAAAGAGGGCAGCAGCTCTGCTCTGGCACCACTGCTCCTCCCACAGCCCCAGAGTGGCATGGCACGGCCATGTAGAGCAGCTGAGGAAAAAAAGCTGACAGCGAGGGCTGTCTCCTGCACCTGGGGAAGGGATGGACGCCCGCCACCCTCTCCCAGAGGTGCCAGAGACCCGGCACTGACCTTGGTGCAGGGCGGTATGCTGATGTTCAGGTGGCAGAGCACATGCTGGAGGTCCTCGTATTTCATGGCCTTGCGCAAGAAAGACAGGGAGCCACTGGCTTCCCGGCTGCTGTCCCGAACCTGAGCACCAAGAGCCCGCTTAGGTGACCTGGCACAGGGCAGGCACAGGGGTCCAAACTGCAGCCCAGCCCTGCACCGTGCCATTACCTTGATGGGGATGGCGAGACGATTCTCCCGGAAGGATTGGAAGAGGAAGGTGCGTGGCTGCGTGGCCTTCTTGACAGGCACCAGGTTCCCTGAGAGCTCGACGTGCAAAGGCATCCCCTCTACCACCTGGGAGGGAGCAGAAAACAGGCTCAGACCCTGTGCAGAGCTGCTTCTCTTGCCCCTGGACAGGGCAAATAACCCCGACTTTCCTCCCCAGGCCAGGGCCAGGCCTGGCATCAGTCTCCCCTCATTTGAGCAGCCCTCTCCCTGCTGTCCCCCATGCATGCTGCTGGGGACAAACCTCAATGTCCCTGCTGCGGGCCACCTCCGTGAAGTTTTCATGCTGCTCTAAAGTCTTGTCAACCTTGTCATCAGTCATGCAGTAGCAGCGCAGCCGGCCTTCCCGTGCATCATTCATCTTGGCAAACACCACGAATTTGGCCATGTAGGGCACGGCCGTCAGCTCCTTGTACAGCATCGTGGCAAAATGTACGGCCTCGGCTGTGCGTGGGCAGTCGGCCAGCCAGAACCTGTGGGAGGGCTGGGTTGGGGTGCTGCCGGGCATGTTCCCCAGTAGCACCAGGAGAGTTGCCCCCCTCCCTGACAGCAAACTGCACCACAGAGGGTGCCCTAAGAGCTCTGGGTACAGGAGCAGCCCCAATCGTGACGGGGACCAACCCAAGCACAAAGAACGGCCCCTTCCCTCTGCACATCCAGTTGTCATGAGTGTTTCTTGATGCATGCTGAGGCAGCATGGGGGGTCTCAAGGCTGGAGACAACTGCTCTGCACATGGGAATGGGGCAGCACCACAATGAGCACAGGAGTTGGGAGGTTCCTCCTGGCACAGGCTGCACCCCAAGAGGGCCCGAGGAGCTGCAGATGTCCCTCAGATGAGCACAGGCTCACCCAGGACTCACCTGGCAGACACATTGGTGGTAAAGTTAGCACATTCGTTTTCATAGACCAGCTTCGTCGTGCCTGTTATGTCTTCCCACTGGGATTGGGCCGTCCCTCCTGCAGCAGAAAACAAGGCTGAGCACGTTGCCTTTCTGTTTGCTCTCTCCACCACCATGACCTGTCCTTAGCTCCCAGGAGCTGCATACGCCTGAGGCAGGCCGGCCAGACCC